TTGTCCTTTTGTATAAATCACAACACCCTGCGAAAGTCTTAAATTGATTCAAACCATTCTTGAAACTCGGAACCCTAAAACCCTACACTATTCTTCGATTTTCTATCAGTAAAGTGATCTCCGTCGGTATGATTGGCAACCTCACTACCCCGCTCAGAGGAACGTCTCTCGGATTCATGAATGATCCGCGGTTATCACCGGCTGTTTCAACCGGAAAAGTGCATTTCCGATGTCACAAGGGTTGTACTTGTAAGGCCTTGCTTCATGCAACAGAGGCTGACCAGGTCGTTGATTCGACGTCGTGCAGAAGATGTTCCAGTTTATACGAAGTCCTAAGAGTCAAACGTAACGCCACGCCTATCGAGATCAAGGCTGCATATCGCAGTTTAGCGAAGATTTACCATCCTGATACTTCGGATCTGAAGCAACATGATCACAATGGAAACTTTATCGAGATTCACAATGCTTATGCCACGTTATATGATCCTGCGGAGCGAGCGATGTATGATATGAAGTTGAACACGGGATTAGGACGGCGTTCGGGGTCGTTCACGGCCGGCGGAAAGAGGCGGGGTGTGTACACCTCCCGGCGATGGGAGACTGATCAGTGTTGGTAGATTTTCTTTTTTAAGATACGAAACAATTATTGAAAAATTGAGCAGAAAAGACCATGTAAATTATATGAGATATAGCTTTTTTATTGCGTGCTTTCTGATCGGGGTTAATATAGTTGATTATCTTAATGCAACTTTGTTAAGAATTAAAATACGATTGTTCTTAGGATTTACATACTCACTCATCCAATGAATGAGTTGCAACCACATGTGATAAATCAATTCCCTTATTGGATGAGTGACCGGTTTAATTATAAGTTATGGTTTTATGCTAACATCCGGCCGGTTTTCGTGAACAACCAGTGGAACCGGTGCACTGAACCGGCCAAAAGCGGGGAAGATAGGTGTTGGACTAATGTTTGGGCCAAAATATAGAGTATGGACCAATGTTTTAGCCCACTACTACGGCCTACAACACAGTTGGCCTGGTTGGACTCAATAGATTGCGTCTCCTAAATCTTATATTGTTGTTGACCATATAACCCACATGCGGCGTCTTCAACAACCAGTCAACCACAACCCACAAGTAAGCATCGATCACGTGTTTGCCTTTTTGAATTCAAAACAAGTACTGAAATCTTCTGCTTGGTTTTTCAATTGAGAAATTAAATTACCTCCTACCTTTTATTCCTATAATTATTCCTACCCACTAAAATTATGATAAATCACCATTCAATTTAATTGTATTTGATATATTCCTAATATAGTCTTAATGATTTAGTCTTAATTTTAATTTCAGTTTTGTTTCGGCTATGTTGGATTGTAATTTTTCTGTTATTATAGACTTATGCTCCATTGTTCCTGTGGTTCTGATTTTGAAATTAATCTATGACTTTATAATATCGTTCAATATTGGAATCTAAAGTCAAGTAACAATGAAAACACAACATCAATATCAATCCCAATCTTCCGTTCAATCAAATGTAAGAACGGAGATGGATAAAACATAAGAACATATAACTCTAGCCTTTAATGATAAAGGAAACAAAGAGATTTATATGTAATTTTTGTTGAAAAATTATAAGTGGTGGAGGCATAAGCAGAGCTAAGAAACATGATAAATTAGGGCATTTAACTCATAATGATCGGTTTAACATTTAACAATTTACCGGTTCATAATAGCACCATATCACGAAATACCGTAACATATACTTAACAACTCTTTACTAGTATCACATAAACGTATTTACGTAAAACGGGATAAAATATACCTCTATTGATCCCGTAATTCGACTCACGTACTCTCGTATGCTAGTATGTTACAGCGGTAATGATTTCCCAGAAACACCTCCCGAGCCTCTTTCCCGATCGTGTATGTCAATAACCATTCAAATGACTTACGATTCATATATTTATACCCTACAGTGGTCACGTCGTGACCATATATGTGTCACGCCGTGACAATCGGATGAACACCAATTTCGCCACTTATTACCCACTCCTGCCAAGTGTCCTTTTGACATGTCTCATTTGACGTCATGATACATCTACTGTTACGTCGTGAAGCTTGAATAGATTCTGTTTCGTCACGTGTCACTCTCTGGTTGACACGTGCAACGTTGACCCACTCATTGTCACGTCATGAGTATTATACCTTCACGTTGTGATGGTCAAAAGTTAACTTTGACTTTCGTTGAATTTCTCAAAATAGCAACCTACTTTCATCTCAACTTCAAATAGTCGTAGCTTTCTCATATGGACTCTATTTTTGAAAAACTTTATATCCACAGAACTGTTTCAGAGTGAACTATTATTTTTTCTCATAATTTCCTGGTTCAACTCTACTTATTTTCCGATACAACATAATAAATACAAGAATCTATGTATTGTATCACTAAATTATCATCACTTCATTGTTTTAAGCTCACCTCAAACCATAGTTATACCAAACACATACTTTAACTCATAGTATGAGGTTCTCAAGTCATTACATGTCTCGTAATAGTTCATGTCATGAAAACAGGTGTCACATATATATAAATGAAATACACATATTCTAACTTTAAGAAAGGGATATTTGAAAGCAAATAATGTAGTTTATTTGACATATGTGGATTTTATTTATATATGAAAGATTCCTAATGATGTTTTCATTAAACTTTAGAGAAAATAATTATTAAGAAACTATACTTTGTGATGTATGACTTCCTTTCTAATAAATGATCTAGCAATAAATATCAAATAAACTTTGTTAACAACTATAGTCGTTGTAATTATATTTTACATGTTAAAACATAATTGTAAAATCTTGGTTGAAGTTTTCAAATATAAAGTTGAGATACAATCCAATAATACCATCTAAAGCCTTATAATAAAGGATTAATTAAACTTTACTTGATATCGTTCACTTTTAAATCGGTAGAAATATTCACCTTTATTCTCTTAGGATTATACTTCAGTCGCTATTAATTGTATCTTGAATACAAACACTATTTATGAAATAGATAAAAGCACTTAATACGATTTTGTATGGAAATGGTCCTTCCTTATACTACTTAATGTTTTGAGGATTGGAAGTATATGTTGTTAGACTAAAGCTTATTATCCTAAAATCTACTAAATACATATTTGTAGAATACTCTAAAAGGTTATTTAGATAATTATATACAAACCCACCTAGAATAAGTTCTATTATTCATCTGAAAGTTGAGTTAACAGAAAGCAAGATTCTAATGACTAGGCAAGTGGGAGGCACGTGTAACTTGTAGCAGCTCAAGAACCATAGCTTGATGTAGCTAATGTTGGCACTAGTTTTAACAAGAAATTGTTAAACATGAATAATAGCTATTCATAAACACAAATTGTTTGCATTATTAGTAGAAATCATCTATGACTTGAGAAATGTGGAATCTCTCATTGATTAATTTACTTGATGATTTCTGGCAAATCCATCAACAACCAAAATGTTATTTCAAATCTCGAATCAGATTAATGACTAAGAGTCATAAACACGGAGATGTAATCTATGTCTAATAATCAAGTATGTGTTTGATTAATCTTCCTCTCTATAGCAAGGTTAGAAGCAGTAAGAGATTCTTTTAGAAACAATACATACATGGATATATATATATATATATATATACACACACACACACACAAAGCAAGGCTTTTTATAAAAGGATTTTCTCATACTCGTTTCATTGACAGTGATCCTTATCATACTCATGACATTGACTATGATCAAACTTTTTCATATATAGCTTTGATTAGATCAACGAGGATATTATTGATGGGTTTTGAGCATAACAACAATCCTATGGTGCACATGCAAACCCTAAAGCTTTGGATCTAGTTTTTCTAATTGTACATGCAATAATCATCCAAAGCTTGTAAACCCTAAACTAGCATACATATATCGAAAATCATAACTAAAACAAAGTTAGGATGTTACCTTTCAATTGTAGCGTGATCTTTAACCTTTGAGAGCTTTAGTATCACAAGTGTAATACCTCTAATCGATCACAAACACCAAGAAGCAACTTGGATAATATGAGAGAGAGAGAGAGGAAGAGGAGGAGGAGGATCAAAATCGGCTCTAAGATCCTTCTAGGGTTTTTGTTCGCCGAAAATATGATGCCAAGGGGGTCCCTTATATAGCTGAAGAACTACGGTTTCAATCAAAGACCTAATCTGGTTGCTTAGGCTCTAAGCAGCCCATAAGATCCTTCCAGAATCCTTATCATGGACAAAATCCTTATGGTTTATCCATAAGATTTCATCAACCCCTATCCATAGGGATCTCCAGCCCATTTTGCAATTATCACATAATTACAATATCAGTGCCCTTGATTTCATTAATCTCTTTTGACCACAAAATTAATTCTAAATTAATTCTTGACTAATATTAATTAAATAATATGATTTCTCTTTTAATATATTATTCACATAATATATTAATAACTCATAATTAACCTCTTTCTCTATAATTCATCCAGTCAAGTTGCTTTGGTGAAGGCATCCTAAAAGGACCATGCTACTATCGGGTCAAGTACATACCAAATATAGTTATGGTCTTAGACACCTAATCCAACAGTCTCCCACTTCGATAAGTCTAATAACTATAAATGCAAGTACGACTTCAAGATCTGATTAGCAATCGTAGCTCTAGAAAGTTGTTGTCGAACTCTGACACGTCCTTTAGATAAGGGATCGTATAGTCCTCCATTCTCAAGATATCTTGTGGACAAAATACATGGAACATAGTCATACTTATTTCCCAGTTGTTTGTTTCCCGATTTCCAATTTGTTTGACATAGAACTTAATTGAACACATCAACTTAGTCCTGACCGGGCTCAACACATAAGTCAAACCAAATCATCAAGGGGCCCAAGATATCGCTTTTAACCTCTTAGGATTAAAGGAACAGATAAAATTCAACTTATATGTTTGTATTATTTATTCATCAAATCGTACACAACAATACGTTTTATAACATCAAGTTATTGATGAGTTTATGCATTCTCAATGCACAAGCAACTCGTAAACAACAACTCATATATCTAGGTTTAAAGATTACATGATGTTATCGTCTCACAATCACTCGTGATTAAATTCCATGAAGTGATTCATGTGAGCGTGAGTTTAATCCAATACTCAAATCTTATTTCAGGAGCACTCATGAACGTTGCAACAAACCTTTGTCATGTCTAAATGCTTAGACAATCTACAAGCCAATTCATGACAGTCTTCTTTCATACTTACTTCCAATGTATGATCGAAGTGGATAGTTTAAATAATATTATTATTTAGGAAGTCAAAACATGCAAAGTGAAACAATAGTAAATAATTAACACAGTATAGTAACTTTACTTCTAAATAAAACTCATTTATTTAATCATCAAATGTTAATTACAATTTATCTATTACCAGTTTCCAAAAGCTATATAAACACTTAAAATAACATCATCCTTCAGCCCACTACACTTAGCATGTAGTAAATGCTTAACCCTACTCAGTCCCTTCGTAAGGGGATCTATTGGGTTATCCTCTGACGATACCCTCTTCACTACGAGGAGTCCCTCTTCTGCCTGATGTCTAATAAAGTAATATTTTATGTCGATGTGCTTGGATCTACCATGATCCCTTATTTCCTTGGTTAAGGCAACCGCACCCTCGTTGTCACAGAAAATTTCCATAGGCTCGTTTATGGTCGGCACAACTCCAAGGTATCCGATGAAGTTCTTTAGCCATATTGCCTCCTTCGACGCTTCACTCGCTGTTGTGTACTCTGATTCGCACGTTGAATTAGCTACGGTCTCCTGCTTAGAACTTTTCTAATTCACTGCTCCTCCATTCAGGGTAAAGACCCAGCCTGAATAAGAGCGAAAATTATCTCGGTCGGTCTGAAAGTTAGCGTCACTATACCCTCGCACTCTCAAGTCATCACTCCCACCAAGGATAAGGAATCATTCCTTAGTCCTTTGTAGGTACTTAAGAATGTTCTTTACTACGGTCCAATGTGCTCTACCAGGTTTCCCTTAATAT